AGATTTTGGGGCTTGATAGAGTAAGGTACTTGTTGCTTTTTGTTATTTTTGCTAAGAGCACTACTTGTAGTTTGTTTTTGGTTAGTTGGAATATAGGGGTTCTTAGAACCGCTTTCGCAGAAGGGTTAAAAAACTAGTTTATTGCTGTTTTGGGTGTTTATTGCTACTAGCTTGTTGTAGTGAAGCCTTTTAATAAAAATTGCATCTTTTTTAGGTAGTTTTAGAGGTGCTGAATAACTTTACTTAAGAGCCAAATATCAATTTACTTAGTAAGTTTTCAAGAAAAGTTTGCGGGAACGTTTTTTCTTCTTGTTCTAATTTTGGTAAAATGATCTATAAGAAGAGTTAACTTTTGTTTTGATATTTTTAATTTGTAATCTATATAGAAGTTAATTAGATATATCTATTATACTGTGCATAAATTAGATTAAACTCATGCTATTAATATATAAAATAATTTTATTTATATTATTCAAAAGAAATTACTAATAATATGAATAATCTTACTGTACTGAAATTATTGAAAAGCTGAGTGATTTGATATAGAGATACAGTATTATATTAATTTCTAAGTTACTATTAAGAAGTAATTTGAATAGTCAATGCAGATTTATGCTTAAAAGTAGTTTTAATATTACTTTATTCTAATTTGAATAATTACACTTCTTAAAGAGATCCAATATGTATATGAATTGGCTTGCTAAGAATTTAAATGATACAAAATTGTTTGAATATAGCTACCAGGTTTAAGAAATTTGACTTATTTTTTTATTAATTAGATTTGAGTCAAGCCAAATTAAATAAGTATTAATGTTACAAAGTTTTTTTCTATTATGCAAATACTAAAATCATTAGCAATTTATCAATAGAAGCTATTTATTACTGTATTTACTATAATCAGTGATATACACAGACATGAAATATCCATAGACTAGACAAGTAAAGAATATGTTCATAAACAAGTAAAAGATATATCTATATTTATATTTATATCCATGTCTAAACTAAAATAACAGAGGATATATCAATATAGCAATCATATGACTTATCTCTTTTATTGGTATAACAATAATTGAAACAGAAAGTCTACAGACACATACAGGTCACGTGTTATTTCATCTTATAGATACATACTAAAATAATAATCTTTTCTTGATTTAAAAGCAATCTGATAAGGCTTTTGCACTAAGTTAATCCTTTATAATTCTAATAAAGCTTGTTCTCCTGGCCTTTCTGGTCCCAATAGGAATAAGATTATTAAAATCTAATTAATTAGTATAACCAGAGATATAGACTTTCAAATTTGGGCAATGTTCTAAAGATTATAAAAACGTCACATAAACTTCTTGAGGTAGCTCTACTGAGTTTGTTCTAATAATATTACCACTATTAGAATCAGAAAAACTAGGAGAACAAGTTTTTTTAAGATGATAAAGGAGATTAACCAATTATAAAATCTCAGCTAAATTATTTTTTAATTTTAAAAAAAGAAAAACAAAAAACAAAAAAAAGTGATCTGGAAGAACTTTCGAACTAAGTTAACTCATTTACATTTTAAATAAACTTGTTCTCCTGGTCTTTTTTATATTAGTGGTGGTGAGTTATTAAAATTAACTTAGTAGAGCCAGAAATATAGCCTCATGAAGTTTATTTGATATTTTTATATAATATTAGAACATTGCCAAATTTTAAAAGGCCATATCTCCGGTTCTACTGATCAAAATTTAATAACTAGAATGACAGGAAAACAAGCTTTATTAGGATGATAAAGGAGTACAAAAACCTTAACTAATCAAAAAAAGATTATTTTAGTACATGTTTATGAGATAAAATATCACATAACCTGTACATGTTCATAGACTTTCTGTAATTGAAAAAGATATATCACAACAACTACAAAGCCAACTTTATGAATCTTTTTTTACTGAATTCTATTAATTGTAGAAATAAAAAAAGTTTATTAAATTTGGCCTAGTAGTTGTAGAGTTATCTTTGCTCAAAATCTAAAGTATATCAAAATAGCAGCTGCATCAAAAAATTTTCGAGCCAAATTTGATGGACTTTTTATTTAAATTCTAAAAATTTATAAAATTCAATAAAAAAAAAAGCTCATCAAAGTTGGCTTGGTGGTTGTTAAGATATCTTTATACAAAGTTAGAAAAATTTTGATACTTTTATTTTGATAATATTTCAAACTTTGAAGATATCTCAACAACTACTAAACCAAATTTGATGAATTTTTTATTTGGAATACTACAGATTTGTAGAATTAAAATAAATAAATTTATTTAATTTAACTTAGGATCTCTGTTAAAATTAGAAAAATTTTAATGCTTTTATTTGGATTACAGATTAAATTTTTCAAACTTTGACCAAGGATATTTTGAAAACTAAAGGCAAAATTTAATGTGACTTTTTTATTTAAATTATATGAATTATCGGATTTGTCGACCAAATTCGTATTTCAATCAAATTTGTAAATTTTGATCTATCATTGATAACTCACGATGTAGTAATTCAATCTTGATAATTTTGATATTATTTGAATCCTCACAGTGAGAGAATTCGAATGGTATCAAAATTATCAAGATTGAATTACTATATCATGAGTTATTAATGATAGATCAAAATTTACGAATTTGATTGAAACACGAATTTGGTCGACAAATCCGATAGTAAAATTCAAAATAAAAATAAGTTCATTATAGTTGGCTTAGCAGTTAGTAGTTGTTATGATATCTTACTATTTCGCTATGTCAACCGTTGCTATGCTAATAAATAAAAGTAAGTTACTGATTGCTGTGTTAGTATATTTTTCAATAACAAAATCATAATATATAGTGCAAGAAATCTAAAGCGATCACCTTATACATAGAAAATAAAATCTAGTTACAAAAAGTAAATACAAAATTTATAATTTTCGATTAATCATATTAAACAGAAATATTTCTCTAATAATTTAATTTGCAAGACTATAAATAGACATAGTAGATTTGAATAGAAAGTAGACATAATAGATTGTATGGTAATATTTATTTATTAATGAATTATATTTACAGCTATTGACATTTACATTCATATACTAAATAATATTGTATACATATTCAAAAAAGAAATCTAAAAAGTAAAATATGCAAAAGAAACAAGTGCTAATAATTTATAATATAAATTAAACTACTACATAAACTAAACCATAGTATTTGGATTTGCCCACATTTGAATCTTTAAAGAGCAGTGGTTGAGACTGTGGTTTAGAAGGTGGTTGAGAATGCGATTCAGAATAGTATAGTTGTTGTTGCCGGTGATTGTGTGACATATTTAATTCATGTTCATAATCATTTCTATCGCCTAGAAATAATATAAATATATTCATTGATTGTATTACAAGACTTGAGATATAATAATTATATACTTACTTGGCCTAAGCCAAAATAACGATTGAAACTCTTCATAAAATAACTGTCTGAGAAGTGTACTTTGGCTCCTATTTCCTGTATGATACAATCTCATTAACTAATAAAACAAAAATAAAAAATTTAATATTAAAAGTTTATATGTTATATTATAACAAAATTTAACCTATAGTTATATACATTATATTCCTTAATGAGCTGATTAAACTTCACCTTGCATTGACTACTAGTATAGGAGGTGTTGAAACGATGATTTAAGCATTCTGCAACACTTAACCAAAATCAAAGTTTTTTGAACGTTTGGTGGTATTCAATATTTTGACTTTTTCTCTCAGCAATTAAAAATTGAATCTCTTCAATTTCCCACATATTGAATAACAAAGGATATAAAAAAATAACATAAAAAAAAAAAAACTTATTTAAAGAAATTTTATAGTAGTTACGTACAAATTACATATGATTATTCAGTATTGAATATACTTACATATATACACTAAAAATTTAAAAAACATATGTAAAATATATGTGTTATTATAATTAAATAAAGAACTTTATTCATACATATATATATATGCAATTAGATATTACATATATAATTGTCAATAGAAAACTAAATCTAATAGCATAACTGCCAAAAGCTATTATGTAATTGCAATATAAAGTCATACAAAAATTAATGATATGATTGTATATTAGTTATTTATGACGATACTTGTTTATAATATAGTGTTGTAACAATATTTGTTTAAAAATTTCTTATCATATTTCATAAAAATTTAATGGAAGTTGTTTATTTTTAGTAATTTATGACAATACTTGTTATAATATAGTGTCGTAACAATAGTTATTTAAAAATTTCTTTTTATATTTTGTAAAAATTTAATGAAAGTTGATTATTTTTAGTTATTTATAACGATACTTGTTTATAATATAGTATCATAATAATAGTTGTTCTTATTCGTAAAATCTGAAGTTCTTAAAAATGTATATAGTTTATAATAAACTTATAAATAAACTGAAGATAAGGTGTACAAATACACTAACAGATTAGAAAACAACAGTAGCTAAAATTGTAAATCTCTGAGAAAGATAACAGATACCTGTATTTATTGTAAGTATTATAATAAAACAAAAAGTACAATATTCATTTATTATGCAATTGTCATCAAGAGCTAGAAAATAAAATTTTAAATAGTTCTAAGCAACATATTGCAGAATTATGATTGAACTATAATAATTGTAAAGATGCTATTTTTGTTATATGTAGTCGATTTACAAAATAATTTAGCATCAATAACATCCTTTAGAATCATATATTTATTAATAATTTTCTATTAAGGTTCAATGAAATTCAAATTATCCGATAATTAAAGAAGCTAAAAAAATAATATAGAAGAACATTCATATGTCAACTGATCATATACAATTTTTCTTAGCGATAACAATTAATTTAATGTTTTGGAATGTAATATTGCAGAAGATAACAAATTAAATAATAATGAATTGAAAATTATGATTAATATAAAAACAGATATAGCTTATTTATTATTTTATCAAATTAATTATATGTTTATAATAAAATAAAAGTAATATCAATATTACTCTAATATAGATGTTTGATTTTCTTGAAAAAACTTATAATTTTCTATAGCAAAGAGATTAAAAATATTGAATCAAGTTTCAAACTAATCCAAAGACACTTTTTATTGATAATAAAAATTTAAAATTCATAGTTACAAAAAACTTAGAAAAGTAGATTAAAAAATAGCGCAGTAGCTCTTAATAAATTGAAAGATATTTAAGGCCTGAGTTTCTGTCTTAGTAAAATTTCTTCAAACAATAAATTTATAATAAAAATTGAATTTCTACATGTATTGTATTTATATATAGTTTTATTATTTTAGATATATTATTTTTTAATTATTATTTTGTTATCATTTTTTGTATTTTATATTTTATTATTAGTATTATTATTATAGCAAAGGTTACTGATGATCATAGCACATGGATGGCTATCCATGCACTAATTATCAGTTACCTCTGCTATAATTTCTACTTTCTAGAAAATAAATAAATAAAACCTAGGAACGTGTTACTAGATGTTAATTAGACTACCTTACTATTATTTTTACATGTGTTCTATATTTATATTTGTATTGTACTTTACTGACTTTTGGGCTTCGCTTTATTTTTTTTATATACATCATTTTTACTGTTTTACTTTTTTTATCACCTTTGCTTTTTACTTCTATGTTTAACTTTTTTAAAGCTCTTGCTTTCTATTTGCTCTTATTGTGTCTTTTTTAGTTTTATTTTACTGTGCTTATTTACTTTGATTTTAAAGTTCTTTATATAAAATATAAAATAAACGAAAAAAAAAGCGTAAAAAATTAGAGTTCCTGATAATCAATATGAGACCAAAAACCTTTTGTGAGAAGATTCCCAGTTACAATATGATTATTATAAATATGATTAATCATGTATAAAAAATAATAATGAAGGTATAGGTGTGGTGGTTTAGTGAAGTAGTCAAGTCGTCACCCTCTCCAAGTAGCAGGTCTAGGGTTCAAATTTCACGGATGACGAAAGTTTGAAAAATAGGCTTGCATTACGGTAACGGATCATCATTAAGTTGGGCCTTAGATTAACCTGTAACTTCGGGTCACACCAATGCTCTGTATTGGAAAGTTGTCACTGTCGGGCGTCTGCGTACTA